TATATATATGTTTGCATATAGCAGCAGGTAACCATGGCTGCACTTCAGCTGCAATTGATCTACATGGCGTTTATTTTTACATGTTGTTTTCCGCCTCTTCGGACATACATTATGACGCTTTCTATAGATCTTCATAAACAGTGATGTATCTTCAATTACTTAGAACAGTTTGTGCTATACAAATTTTAGAAAAATTAGTTCTATACAAACTTCACGTGCAAGCATGATGTAAAGTTCACACGCACAGCAAGCGCAGGTCTGCAATATCGAGCTTGCGTTCGGGTTTTAAACTACCATCTTTCGAAATTTTGGTATACAGCGTTCCTTATTCTGAGACGTTTACTCGTGATACCCGATACATCTGGCACTCCACAGCAGCGTAGATGATGCAGAGCAAGTTTTCGACCAAGTATATGCAGTACTTTAGTATTTGCATGATATGTACTTATAGATTTGTGAGAAAGTCGCATACTCCACATTCAAGCCTCTTTGCGCGGCTATGGTCTGTCATCGTATTTAAAGTCGACGAATTATTCTGCATGCGCGTGAAACTAACAACCTAACAACTCATACTGCGGTACAATTTTTAATATCATTACTACCTGCAGCACAAATTTAATCCACAAAAACTTAAAGTCCATCCCCTGGGTTCGCCACCCTCGCCATCTAGCACATAGGTCTTTTCCACACCATTAACAGGGGAAGTGAGAAATCCTGCCGCAGAATCTAATGAATGTGTTGAACCAATTTTAGTTAAGAATTGGACCTTACTATTGCCCAGAAGTTTGGACATCGACATATCGTTGAAAAATACGCCGTCATCGAAACTCTCTGGTTGTTGCGTCACCAAACCCATACGATCCAGCGACGTGTCGTCTGATGTATTTGGCGAGCCTATACCACTATCTGAGTATGAGTAACTATCCAGCGTATTTACAAAGCTGTCCTCGGCGTCGTAAAAGTATTCTTCTTCGTCGTCCATAGTTATCTCCATGCCAGCTACATCTTTATACGATGAAAGAACCTCCGCGGCTTTCACAGGTGATGGTATCTTGGATATGTCTGTGTTTTTCAGATATTCCCGCGTTACTCTGGGTAGTTTCTTGTACCCCTCGACAATTAAACCACTCACTAAACTTTCCACTGACGAGCCTACGCCCCACACACCTACTTTGATGTCGATATCTATCGTCTGTTTGCACATTTTGCTACCGTCTTTTGAAGGGAAAACTTTCAGCACGCTATTGATCTTACATTTGTCTGGGAATATGTTCGGTACTGTGGTGCATTTAAATTGGTAAGGTGTATCCAAGCCATCCTTGACAATGGTGATGTGATCCGTAAGCACAATTCCCTCCTCCGGGCCCATTTTCATCAGAAAGGGTGGAACAAGTGACAGATCAGGTTTGCACACAATCAGTTGCCTCTCCACTGCACCTTCCGCATTGCAAAAGTCTTTGATCTCCTTAGAGGCATTCTGCAATATAACGTTTTCTATACTTACGAATTCGCGTGTATTTCTTGCCAACCAGTATGTGGCTGCGTCCATTGGTATATCTGATGTCGCTGAGACTTTTACCATTTTGTTATGCCTTGCACAACTCAAGAATGATCGATCTGTACTATATTCTTTCTGTTTTACAGATATTACTGTAGCCTTTAAATCGATTCGCGCAGGTGTACGACTCCTAAAAATTAACAAGAGTGCCTACAGGTATACTAAAGCGGCTAATATATATAATTTGACGGAGAAATATGTGCGAACACAAATTATCAATTTATTTGAAAGCATTTTTTTTAATTCTTTGGGTTTACATTTTACAATCTTCCAATCGACCAAAGAATATGAGCACTTTTAAATTTATCCAATAGAAAACTATCTCCGCCTTATCAGCAAAAACTTTTACGTTGACATATTGAGTCATACTATGTTGTGTGAATGGCTGCCACTTAGAAGGCTAAAGAAATTGGAATGGTCCACCTCAACCAGTAAAACGTTCCAACGTTTAAATTTCAAACTCAAGTGCTGTAACTTTAACGTTTTACGGCAGATATGGTGTCCGTAAATTAGATCAAGGATCATTCTGAAGGACAAAATGGGAGACCTACAACCTTGTCACCTAAAATTGACCCATATTGCTACTGTGCACCTTGGAGTTGAACCTAGAGCAGGTTGGTATATCAAGTCGAAAATGAGATAAAACGTTTTAACGTTATCAAAATTAATCATTTTTCAGAAAAACGTGAACCGGACCAATGCAGAGGCCAGAAGAGCTATCCTGATAGAGCCGCCACATCTGAGAGAGAATAAAACCATTATCTTTCAGCACAAACTGTCGACGGAAAGTCGGAAACATCGAACAGCCAACAGGTGATTGCAGATGATCCGTCATTCGTGACGGCGTGACCGTGATTGCAGGGCTTTTTTTTTCTGAAACAGTTTTAGATTTTTCTGCCTTCGTTTTTGTTTTTTTTGGTTGTTTTAAAAAAAGAGAAAAAGAACAAGATTAAGATTTGGGTTTTTTATACTTGTGAATATAAATAAAAATAACAACAAAGCAAATTGAGCGAGCTTTTTACTTCGCGCTTGTCCTCTAAAATTCTTGTTGTGACTTGTGACAAAGTGAGTTTTGAGTCTCAGACTCTCAGTATGTATTCATTATCTCTTGATTTGCCCTTTAAAATTTGGGCCATGGCCTGGCCCCTCTGGGAAGAATTTCGTGTGGGGGGTTTTTTTTTAACCAAATAAAGACTAAATATGTAGCTCTAATCCATTTTTTACAATATATTTTAGTAAAACATAATCCACATCTTGATTGTATTGTCGACAACGGGTTTTAAAAATATCTAAAGGCTTTTTTATAACTAAACGCAAGACCACATGATGTCCTTTCACTATATCCAGACTCCAGTCACCTGTCGCGCACATCATGATTCATGTGTCAGCAGTCAGCAATTCAGCAGTCAGCAATCAGCACTCAGCACACAATTGCCAACTGTCAAGAGAGAGAGAACTTGAGAAGTGTGACGCATCGTATGACTCTTCTGCTGACCTCAAACCGTTTTTCGTTAAAACTTTTATAAATCCAATAAATATACGTTTACGTTCAACTATTATTTCATATGTGGTTCTTTGTATGCACATAGGTGCAACTGGCGGGTCTTCATATTTTAATGTGTACCATGATCACGATACGTACCAGTCCTATAATAGAACTTAGGTAGGCCCTTCTGATCACATTATAACCGTTAAAACGTTCTAAAATTGAATAATTACGTTCAACTTCTATCCAGTCCCCATTAAGTTATGAGCTTAAATAGCTCTTCTGTGCGGTGTGTATTTATTTACAGTATCTTTTTCTATAGTTTTGTTTTTTCTTTCTTTCTACTTTTTTTAAAATAAACAACAAACCAAAAATTTAAAAATTTAAAAAAAAGGAAGTTGTGTAAATGTGAGACCTTTTGAATTTGTTATTTATTTCAAAATAAAAAACAAACAAAAAGCAACAGGCCCAGTGCCCCAGTTCCTCTCTCTCTCAGCTCTACTCATTGTCAGAGAGAGAGAAAGAGAGGGGCCGACCACTCTCTCTCTCTCTCACTAGAGTAGAGAGAGAGAGAGACTTTAGAGTAGAGGGAGAGCTAGTAGTAATTAGAATATAGTAAATCGGGCAGGAATCAGGATCTGTATGACAGTATATTAGACATAAAATATGTAAATACATAAATATGTACAAAACACCATGGCCCTCTGGATTAGGGTCTCGGAAGAAACCTGATTTCTGCTCGTGACCCTACTCCGGAGGGCCGTGAAACACACATTCATATTGAATTTGGTAATATTTTTCTAAAAACAAACAGAAGGCTATGGAATTCGCTGAATCGCCGACTCCGCCGGGCGACTCGCCGAGCCGCCGAGGAGGTGTGGAGTGTGGACCGTGGTCAATATATGTATGTACATTGTACAGTTGTAAATACACCGGCTATATTTGGGTTTTTTTATATTTGTTTTAAAAAAAACCCCCCCAAAACAATAGATAGACAAACAATCGAGATTCGAGAATAAATAATACATACAACAGTCAGTCTCACAGACCAGAGTGTGTCCAGACTCCACCCCAGAGTGTATTTTTAACTAAAAAAAATGTAAATGCCATAGCCTTCTAAAATTAAACATAAATAAATCCAAAAAATATAACCAGGAATCACACATGTTTTAGGGCTTTTAGTATCACGTGACAATAGCACTGTCCCACCCGACCACCGGCCCACCATCTGACCCCCCCCCCCCCCAACCAGCCAACGCTCAGAAGCCAGGGCAATACAGCTGTCAGGGGATTGGCAGTACTGCAGAGTGAAGACTACAGACTGCAAAGTGCAAACTACAAACTACAAACTGCAAAGTGCAGACTGCAGACTGCAGACTCAGAGTGCAAACTGCAGACTCAGAGTGCAAACTGCAGAGTGCAGCTTCGACAACAACCGAGAGTATCGGGTACAGTGTGCAGAGTGCAGACGACAGGCACCAGCTCACGAGCAGTGAGTTTCCAAGTACTGCCACTTGCCAGTAACTTACTTTAGAGGAGTCGAGACTTGAGAGTGACTACGCACTCTATTTGTCTATTTGGTCTGTAGTACATAGAGAGAGAGAGAGGCAGCAACAGACAGTCAGGCACTCTATGCATTTAAAAACACCTCGGTTATACCATGACTCTCTGGAAATGCCTGGTCGAACAGCAGTTTTCGCAAACAGAAAGTATTTATAAGGGAAAAATGCCATTTGTCCGAATTGCCTTTTGACCGCATCATCATCCCCAGAGGCCAGAGGGCCGTGTTATTCAGTCTCATTATTGCAATGACTTAGGGGACACAAGTCATAATAGGAGTACTTGTGGCCTTGTGTCTCTGAGGACCGATTTACGGATTTATGGAGAGTCTCAAAAAGTCAGAAACAGTTATACAAAATACTTCCTGTCGCCTATCGGGCGGCTGCTCACATATCACTGCCTCGTGACTCCGTGAGGAGTGATATTCATGATGAGCAGATCCGTGAGTGTTGGCAACTTGGCTCTGGTCTCTGGAGTGGGGCTGGCCCATAGCCCGCAGTCCGCAGCCCGCAGGCGCAGCCCGCAGATTCGCAGAGGCGCAGACTGCAGAGTCGCAAACCCGGTATGGAAACTGGAAAGGGGCCGAGGGGGGGGGGGTTGAAAACAAAATGTGGGCAAAACCTTCAGATTCCTCCATTTTTTCTACATAGTTTATTGTACTTAACTATTTTTTTACAAAAATCTTTTGCGGCCTTACCCCATGAACCATGAAAAACAAAACAAAACAGATATTTACATACATACGTCATACTGTTTACAGACCGTGTCAGCGTCTAATTTTTTTTAACTATTAGGTACATATAAAAGGAACAGGTATTTTTTTATTTACATACGAACTACGAGTCTATGAATATGATGCAGCATTGCTTCTTTGGTATTTTATGTCAACGCTGAATTTGCAGAAACGATTTACAAACGTAAGGAAATAACATATCTAATGGTATCCGTAATCCTGCTCATATACTGAGCGGCACGTAGTCTTCATAGTAAAATATTCATATTTTTAAAGCATGAGGTGCAAACTGTGACGACAAGTTTGAGAGATTCTAGCTCAAATACGAGCTGAAACACAGAGTGACTGGGCAATTTTTGAGTCAGCTACGCAATATGTAATTGACGAATAAAACTTTGCTTTCATACTAGTATGAATACGACAGCTTTGTACACAGTGGCTACTCTCAGATTTACATCCAGACGAACCCGGAAAAGCACAGCTAGCTCAAAAACCTCTGCAGCCCCTGGCAAGGGCAAACAGAAGAGCAACCCGAAGACTCAGAAGAAGCAAGGACCAGTAAAAAGAAAAAGAAATCCGGTAGACAAAAGAGACCCAAGAGGATTCAAGCCCAAAAGATCTCGCGGCTAGCTGTGGTCTTCCGGGAGCCCTCCACTCTGGTGTATGGCAGTATTTTCGCTGTATGGGCACATATCTTAACATGTGCTGGCATATCAGATTGAGACATAACTTCATAATTTACAATCCGCCGCACTGTGAGGTGTGTTCACAGCGACAGTGTAGATTGCCAACGTATAGCCCAATCAAACTAAGTTTAATAACACAAAAGGTCCTTATTTCGCCTTACTGGGCTTGGGTTTGATGTCCGACCGCAAAAAGGACAAAACATAAAATACAGTCACTGCCGCGGAGAGATGAAATACGAATCCGGCAGGCATATATTTGCCAGTCTTGTCCCATCGCATTCGCATGACGCCGGCTAAGATTGCTGAGATTACCAATGAAATCGCTGTAAAGACTCTTTGGTTTTTACCTGATGTCAAACAGAAATTTAAGTGTAAGCGAGTTACGATTTCAAATGATTATCAATATGAATTTAAGTGGTTGAACAGAAAAGGAAATGGTATATCAGTGCATTATAATATAAGGTTGTCTATCACCTAGTATATGATCTATCACATGTATATGGCACTAAACAGACAGCAGGATAACAAGATAACAATACAACAATATAACTATATATACAAATATAACTATATA